AGCCGTTTTACACTTTTACTCACTCAGTCACTCTTCTATTCTCAATCTATCATAGTTTCTCTCTCTAACTTCTCAGTTTCTCACTCTTTCGTTCTGAAATTCTCAAGAATCTCAACTTCTCAACTTTTAAAAATCCTAATTAGAGTTTTTGTTTTCGTTTCATTTGTGTTTTGGATCTACAGTTCTGATTTCTCGCTTTACATTCTCGTTTTTTTGTTTTTTTCAAATCTTCCTCTCCTTCAATTTGAAGGCTTCAAGCCGTCAAAAGTTCAAAATTCAAGGTAATTTTTTGTTAATTTTTGTTGTTTTCGTTTTGATTTTTTTCGTTTTTGTTTCGGTTTGTTTATTTAGGGTTTTTGTTTTCGTTTCATTTTTGTTTTGGATCTAAGTTCTGAATTCTGACTTTTCCATTCTCGTTTTTTTTTTCAAAAGGCTATGCTTGCTGCGATTAGCAGCATCACAAGCTCCAACGGATCAAGGATGGCCTCCCCCATGACCCCACGGCCAGAGGACTGATGGAGTTGGCCAAGGAGGGGAAGACGCAAAAATTCAGGGTAGAGGATGGGATCCTCTACACCACCGGACGTCGGGTGTTCGTGCCTAAGTGGGATAATCTTAGGCGGGACATTCTCAAGGAGTGCCATGATTCATTGTGGGCTCGACACCCAGGGATTCTACGTACCTTGGCACTCTTGGAGGAGACTTATTTTTGGCCCCACATGAGGGAAGATGTGGAGGCCTACGTGAAGACTTGTCTTGTGTGTCAGCAAGACAAGATTGAACAACGCGTGCCGGCAGGGTTACTTGAGTCATTGCCCATTCCGGAGCATCCTTGGGAGAGCATCTCTATGGACTTCATCTCAGCTCTTCCCAATGAGGGATGCGGTTCTATTATGGTAGTGGTGGACCGCTTCTCAAAGTATGGGACATTCATACCGGCGCCAAAAGATTACACAGCTGAGCAAGCCGCCAAGCTCTTCTTCAAACATGTTGTCATATATTGGGGCTTGCCAAGGAGTATAATCAGCGACAGGGACCCAAGGTTCACAGCCAAGTTCTGGACGGAATTGTTCAAGCTCCTTGGGTCGGGACTTCATTTCTCAACAAGCTTTCACCCGCAATCAGATGGGCAGACGGAAAGGGTGAATGCCCTGGAGTTATATTTGAGGCACTATGTGAGTGCCAACCAACGAGATTGGGCTAAGTTCATGGACATAGCCCAATTCTCCTTCAACTTGCAACGATCCGAGGCAACGCAACAAAGTCCTTTTGAGATCGTCATGGGGCAACAACCCTTGACGCCACAAGCTCACACTTTTGAGAAAAAATTTGGAGAATTCTCCATTAAAGTCGAGAGAGTTCTTTGCCAACCAGAAGAAGAGAAAGAAAGTACTCGGAAGCAGGCGAGAAAGTGTGAGCTTACAGTGTTTTTTTATTTAAATAAACTTCCACCTCAAGCGGGTAGTTTGGGAACAGTGGAGCAGAAATTTTTTATAAGTAAAATCAAACATCCCCATGTGGGTACTTTTGTGGACTTCTCCACTTGCCAAGTTTTTAAATTATTGTGTACAATTTTAGACGTAATATTATGACGGACTCCGTATTTTTTTAGTGAAGTTCAAATTTTTTAGGGTTTATTAATTACTCCATCCGTTTTAAAATACTTGCTCCATTTCTATGCGCGGAGTTTTAGGAAAAATTGGAGAAAGTAATAAAATATGGAGGTAGTGGGGTAGGGGTAGAATAAAAAATTGTAAAAAACAAAAGTAGTAGAGAGAATTGGAGGAGAGAGAATATGAAATAAAATATGATTTATCTTTTGGAGAAGTAACTCCCAATGTTTTTGACTTCGTTTCTAATTAGGATTTTTAAGCTTTGTATAAATACGTTTTGTTTAGTTTCGAGACGGTTATCTCTTTCACTAGCTAAACTCTCTCTTACTTATTATTTAAGCTTAGACTTCTTTCTTGTTTCTCTCTCTACAACTCTTGGTTTATGCAATTCATTATTTCCGTTAATTTTGGTAACAATTTCTTCCCTTTTTACTTTCAGTAATTTAATTGTTTTAATTCATCCTGTCTTGTTTAATAGTTTTGTTTAGTTTAGGTTTAATGATGGGTGAGTAGATTATTTTCAAGGGTTGTGGGGATCCATAAATAATATAAAAGGCTAAATTATTATTGTTGATTATCAATGTTTCATTAATTTCCTATTGATTAATTTAATGTTATGCAATTAGATTAGGCTTGGTTTAACTGTATAAGTTATGTAATATTAATTCGAGATTCGAGAGATGAGAATTGATGATTGGTTAATTTATAAATGGTTAAGTCAAGATTCGAGAGTGCAATTTAATATCGGTAGATTAGTTCTGTGATTGTTATACGTAGCGAAAGCCCTTTATGATCTGATTAATTATTGCATTATTGCAATGGTGATTGATTATTATTTTTTACCCTGGAATATTATTTATTGGTGAAACTATACCCTAGGCTTTTATTCATTGATTTCTCCCTACTTTTATCTCCCTTAGTTTATTTCATCATATCTATAATTTGGTTACTTAATAATTTAGATTATTTTAATTAATTAGAAGTAGAAAGACTTGTTTCCCTATGGATTCGACCCTACTTCCCTATCGTCTTTAGCTAGAGGATTTAGAAATTACTTTTGATTAGGTGATACGACTTTAGCATGTCAATTTGTAAGACCCCTATTGGGCCATGCACGACATGGCGTGCCTAAGCAAAGGCACACTAGCAGCTTGGCTTGGTGCTAGGCTATGTACATTGTACTATATAACCCTATGGTGTGGTTGATAAGTAAATAAAGGCACTAGGGTGCTTCTATATGTCACTGGCGTGTTCACTAGTTTTTCAAGAGCCATATAAAGTTCTTTAGGGGGACAGTGCCTCCTATGGCTAGGTGCCGGCCATGGGAGCATCATTGGCTAAGGCAATGGTGCATGGTGCTAGCGTAGCAAGGGCTACCTAGACTATGGGCACAAGGTTAACTTGATGACTTAGTAGGCTTAGTGACTTGAACTTTGGTGCGGGCTTGGCTATGGCTGCGAAGCGACGTGTCGATTGGGATGTGGTAGAAGCGACGCGGTGCTTGTGGAGCAACGCGACGCATGTCAAGGGTCGTGTTGCTTGTGAAGCAGCACGATTGGTGCGATACAACATGATGCTTGTGATGTGTTGCATTGCTTGAGGCGATATATCGGATGCGAAGGGGTGCACCGATTGGCGAGCGAGGTGAAGGTTGGTGAACTATGGTGATGGTCTATGGATAGGACGTTGCTCTTCACATTATGAGTGATGGTTCGTGGACAAGGAAATTTGGATGAAGTGAAGAGACACAAGGGATAGTTGTGACGATCCGTTATGTTTAGTAAGGATTGCTGACTTGGATTAGTGTGTACATAATTCCATGAGTGCCACTTAGCACACATGCGTGAATTCCCCTATGAGAGGGGGTTATCCTCCCTTGTTAAAGCCGGCAATTTCACCCAAACCCATAGATAATCGATCCACTCGACCCGAAAATATGGATAAAAACCTGATCAAAGGTGGATTATAAATGGATGACGAGTGGATCGGGTTGGATTTGGGTGGACCTTCATCCAACCTGTCACCCAATCCACCCATCCATCTACATATATATATTATTAGCCATTTAATAAATATAAACAAATATTAAAATAAATAAAAAAAAATATATAGTATTTACTACATCTAGAAGCTACTGATAGAATAGAAAATTAAATATAGTCTACTGTTTAATTCATTCATGGGGGTTAATATTAGTGGACTACTTTTCCAAATCTGATTTTTTTAAAAAAAATTAGAATGCAAATAAAACTTGAATTTCACCCCATTAATCACCAGATCCCGATACTGATGGATGGATCGGATATGGTGGAGTTTGGATCGGGTGACGATGGTTCGGGTGATGGATGGGCATAGGCGGATGGATGCGGATAGAGCATAAACCGACCTGTATTCGATCCATTGCCAGCCCTATCCCTTGTCTATAAATAGATGACCTTGGGGGTTTGTCCAAGAGATCCAAAAACTTGCGTGTAAATAGATTATTGTTAGGGATGTCAGTGGGGCGGGTCAAGTAGGAGACCCGCCTTGGGGCGGGGATGGGTCTCGATTTGGCGGGTGGTGGGGCGGGGATGGGGATAAAAACCATACCCGCCATGGGTGATGGGGCGGGGGTGGATTTTAAGTTGTACCCGCCCCATCCCCGCCCCGCCCCGCCCCACCCGCCCCACTTCGTACCCGCCCCATCCCCACCTCATACTCACATCTATATATTTTTTAAAGCAAAATTACATACTTTTATTCTATTTATAAAATAATTACATGAAATACAATATTAATTATAATACTTTGTACGACACTTATATTATAACACAAAAATGTGTATAGAATGTTTTATTTTATAATTCGTATTAATTATGTAAGATTGTGTATTTGAGATACGGATATTAGGTGGATCTTGGGTGGGGATTAGGCGGGTCTTTGGTGGGGATTAAGTGGGGATGGATATCCAAGTGGGGGGTGGGGCGGGGATGGTTTTGGAGTTATATCCGGTGGGGCGGGGATGGGGATGAAAATTGGACCCGCCGCGGGGATGGGGATGGGGATGAAAATATTAGGTGGGGATGGGGATGGGGATGAAAATATTAGGTGGGGATGGGGATGGGAAGACCAACATCCGCCCCGCCCCGCCCCATTGACATCCCTAATTATTGTTGATATAATAAAAGTATGTTGTTGTGATAAATCCTAAGTGTTCTATTTTGTTCTTTATATTGTGTGTTCATATTTACATCAAGTGTTAAGTTAGGCTGGTTAGTACAATCTAACGCCATCACAGTAAATCAAAAATTCTTTGTGACACTATCAAAGGTACATTGTCATAGGTATTAGGGTCAAGGTCACTCGTTATGAATATACCAATGATTAAGAGGCGAAAAAACATAGACATCAGGAATGATAGGCAAATTTAGCAAGCCTTTTTTGAATCATAAAAAAACAAATTATCACTTCACAGTAAAAAGCGCTAAAACTTGGTGACATAATAGTGAAGATTATTCAGTGTCTAATGTTCTGCATCTTTGTACCTGCAGAGTACAAGAAGTTTCTCACCTGAAAGGGCGGCCATTGTACTTCAGGACCAGCTGTTCAGCAATTGATTTACTGCGTCCATAAGGATCAACATGGTCATCTAGAGGAAGATAAGGCAGAGTTTCATTGCCATTAATGATCTCTTTTCCCCCAAAAATAACATTGCAGGTACTCACATAGACAAGCCTCTTGATCCCAAAATCCATGCATGTATCCAGTATCAGACAAGTCCCATTTATATTAACCTCATCAATGCGACCAAATTGAAGCATTTCTTTTCCTGACATGCCATAGGAAGCAACATGGAAAACACAATCTGCCCCTTTTAGAGCCTTGTTGACATCCTTTTGACACGTAATGTCCCCTAAGGTACAAAAAACAATCATTGTTACAAGTATAGTGTGAAAAATCACAGAGTACTATAAAGAATGACAGTTCATTTATTAAAAAAAAAAAGGGGGGGGGGGGGGGGAGTTCCTTTAGTAAGACTGCTGCACAATTCCAGGAGTCATTCTAAACTCTCAACAGAGGTTTGGGAAAATAGTAGGAAATATGACAGATGATACTGAGCTTATCTCTTTCTCTCTTGTCCTATATAGTTTGCTTAATTTTGTTTCCTTTTCTAATACTTGTCTCATTACACCTGGATTTCCTAATTTCTACGATAGGATGTTTCACATGGACTCTGTTAAATGCTTATTGAGTGATACATATCATTCCATACATAGTATTAACTAATGCTAAAATTACTATAATATGCAGCTACTGATTTAATTGGCTGATTAAAACACGTTAAGCTGTACACTAGCAACGATGAGATGGAATTGTTATGAAAGTACTAAAAAAAATACAGATGATGATTCTGAATCCTGCATCACATAAAAGGTTAAAGTACTATTTCCTCGTTCCATATTATATAGCCACTAAGGCCTTGTTTGGTTCAACTGATTTTGACTTATCTAAACATAAGTTCGTATAAATTCAGACAAAATATAATCATATAAGTTCAGGCAAAATACATTATTAGACAATTACAAAGAAAAAGCTTTTTTTTTTTAACAAATCAGAGAATCTTAGGCAAAACAAGTTCAAATTAGAAAAGTTTAGACCAGTAAGTTGATAAAATAGAGCCTAAAAAATCTTTCTCAAATTCAAATTATCAATCAATGCACTCTAATTTGTCCACCCAAAACATCAACACAACACTAATTGAAAGCTCGAAATACAATTACAATATCTTAATAATCTCGATTCATAAAGCGCAACGGAGACAGAGAGTAATATAATACTCTGTAGCAGATGTAATTAAAGAGCAGGATTGAAAAGAATACATTATGATTATGCAATTAGCATTGAAGAATCTTAAAAAGCATATTAATCAAACACACTTCAATTGATCCCTTAAAACAAGCATATTCTGCTAAATCCCCAAAAGCCCAACTCTCTAAAATCACTACGACAACAATTTCATCAGTATACTAGTAATTCCACAAAATCGAATAATTAATCAAGAACTGATGATCATTTATAGAATAACCAAAGTTAAAATTGAAGAGAAGAGTAGAGTAGAGTAGAATACCAGTGATGGAGACAAAGTTAGGGTGAAGAGACAATTGAGAAAACCAGGGAGAAGTTGAGCGGATGTCAAGAGATCGAACATGGCGAGCACCTCGTCGGAGAAGTTCGAGACAGAGAGCTGCGCCGACGAACCCTAAACCGCCGGTGACCACCGTCGTCTTCCCTTCGATTCCTTCATTCTCGCTCAAATGCATTTCTCTCTCCTCTAATTCTCTAATATTCTGTACTAGACTACTAGTCGTCTACTACTTAGTTACTGTGTAAGTTGTGAGAATATGATACCACGAATCATGATCCCTCCTATTTTATCAGAATATTGTGGACATCTGTTTCATTTCGACTTAATTACTCGTTAATCTTAGACCTGCAAACAATCCATTCACCTATTCCAACATTAATTAATTCATCATTTTCTGATCGTGTTGCTTTCAACTTTATATGTAGCATAACGACTACCTCGTGGTGTCGGATGCCTCCGTTTTTAAATACTTGCTTCATTTTTATTTATTTCAAGTTAATATTACTCGTCGATCATGTAATTAATGTTTATTTCAATTAAATAATTCTACATGTTTAGTTTAATCTTAGAGTCTGTTCACATTTACTAAACTGAGCTGCATTAAAACTGAACTGAACCTAACTAATTAGATTTAATTGGAGCTGAACTGAACTGAAATGAACCGAAATGAACTGAACTGAACTGAACTAATTGGAGCTGAACTGAACACAATTAAAATTAAGCTAAAGTGAACAGGTCATTAATCGTCTACAGTTATTTTTTGGGTGAAAATTGCCAACAAGCAATTGACATTCTACCACTTGGGATCTAGAGTGTCTTGAAGGTACGTCTAACATTTAAGTATTAAGTAATCGTTATGAAGATTACTAATTAAAGCAGATAGAGGAAATGAAGGGTATGGGCAAATAACAAAGTAAACCACATTGCCAAATGGGAGATATTATAAATTCAACATAGAGAAGCACACACAAAATGGTGTACTTCCCAAAAAGATAAGCTTAAACTAGACAATTGTTAGACACTACTATTGGAGAATTGGAGAGGATGATCAGCGATTTAAATACATAAAAGATGTACGCTAAGACTAAATTATTACACATTAAACTAAGAAGCGTATACAAAAATTGTAAAAAGATAAGTTTAGGCTAGACCATTGTTAGGCTACATGATAGAAGTATGATTACCGGCCTCCATCATTGTCGTTACTCTTGGAGAAGAGGATTAGGGGGGGTTCACGGAAGACGTATGCTAAGACTAAACTAGTTTAGACAGCTAAGCCAAGGCTTCATCCTATACGAAAAACTAAAATAGAAATAACTCTATATGATGTGTTTGGTGATGATTCTATGCTTGATAAAAAGATAATTTATAGATTTATTATGGTGGCTGGCAGTTATATATTGTTTTTGGCGACTCTTCATTTTGATCATTTTCAACTTCCTTTGTCGATTAACTTCTTATTTTATAGAAATAACCACACATGTCATGAAAATAAATCATTTTACAAATGTTAACCACCCGATCGGTTTTGCAATTAGAAATAACTACTTTTTCAATTAAATAGTTGGTGCAATTATTATGATACTCTAATAAAAATATATATTAAATTGAAGCGAAGGAAATGAAGTATATTGAAACTATAAACTAAAGTATAAATCGAAATAAAATTTAGGAAATTTTGCGAAGAACTACCGTTTAAATGATGAGTTTTGGAAAAAACTACCATTAATTTTTTTTTAAACAACTACCGCAAAAACAAAAAATTTGAGTAGCACTACCTTGACAACTATTCCGGCGAGAATCTCTGGCACTGGGCCCCACGAATTACACTTTCCCTCCTAAAATCCCACCTAAATTGACGCATGTACTCTAGATTGGATAATAAAGATTAATTGCCCCTAAAACCCTCAATTTTAATTTTTTTTTCCCAAGAACCCTAATTTGAAGATTCAATTGAGAAATTATGTCAATTAAAATGGGTAATGAGACATACATTACCTTAACTTGAGTTCGCCTAACATTTATCTTCATCTCTTGCTTGGAATTGAAAGCAATCAAGATATTAGGGTTTTGAATTTTTTTAAACAAAGGCAAAAGGGGCAAATGAAGTTTATTAGTTAAATATAGAGGAGAGAGGAAATTTTTTGGAGGGAAAGTGTAATTCGTGGGGCCCACTGCCGAAGATCTCGCCGGAATAATTGTCAAGGTAGTGCTACTCAAATTTTTTTTTATTTTTGTGGTAGTTATTGTTTAGGGTAAACATACCCCTTACACGTGGTTCAATCCCATAGTGACACGTGCGTGGCCCAATTAAAGGGTGATACGTGTCCCAATGGGAAGATAACGTGTGTAATGAGCTCACAAAGAGCACCTGAAATAAGAGAAAAAAGGGTCTTTCTTACATCAGAGCCCAAATCCCGAGAAATCCTGTAGAAAACCGCAAAAAGGCGCCCCCAGGCGTCACGTATCAATACTTGATTGCGCAGCCAATCAGGACACGGAAATTTAGGGCACAAACCCTAAAGGGGCACAAATTCTCACCCCTATAAATACCCCAATCATTTATGATGGGAGGGGTGGATTGTGACATAATATTTATTAGAGCATTAAAACAACTCCAACTTCTCTCTACTTTCTCTCTCTAGCTTTTCCGTTTCCGGTTACTAACTTAACCGTCGGAGGCGAATATTCAGGTAACGGAATATTCGTTGTTTTGCAGGTGTCAAGTCTCGTTGCCAGCAGTACGTGACTGATGTGTCTATTTTATATAGTATTTTATCCCCGTCCCTTGGTCATAATTGATAGTGTTTTTGGTTCTTTAGAGCCACTTTTATAACTAATTGGTGTTTTCTAGGTAGTTTTGGTTGACTTTTGTAGGGAATTGCACTTTTGGAGCATTTTTCCGAGATTTTATGGAGCAACTACGAGCATTGGAGGAGCACGACCGTCTTTCATAGCCCAAGGCCGGTTAGAGCCATCAAACCGGTTATTAAATGCTTGGTACATGTGATACAGAGGCATTTGGACCGAGTATTCAAGACCCGAAGAGGGAATCCGGATTAGGCGAAGAATCGAGGCCCAATCGAGAAGTCCAAGTTGCAAGAAGATTGTGGCCCAGCCAAATTAGGCTCTGCACGAAGGCGCGCCCGGCCGGGCGGGGCAGAACATAGTCGCAACATCCTTCGCCCCATCTCGCGCCCGGCCGGGCACGAGAGACGTCCATGATGAAGAAAAGGCGGGTCGATCGGGCGGTGTGGCGCACGACCGGGCGTGTGTCCCTGATGAAGTTTTAAGCGTCGTTTAGTTTGTTTTAGTTTAGGATTTTCTTGCTTAATATAAATACGTTTTCGTTAAGCAAGTTTAGCTCTCTTTCTCTTTTACTGCTATTATCCTTTCCCTTAGACTTTCTCTCTCTACTTAATTTTTAGATTATTTTCTCTCTCTACAACTTTATTCTTAACTTGTTCTTAATTCAACTCTTTAATTATATTCCGATTACTTTAGTAACGATTTATTCTCCTTTAATCTCAGTTATTTATTTTATTTTTTTCATCATGACTTGTTTAATTGCTTTGTTTAGTTTAGATTTAATTATGTTTGAGTAGTTTTCTTTCTAGGGTTTATGGGGATCCATAAATAATACGAAGGGGTAATTCATTGTTGTTGATTGTCTGTAATACCCCGAATGTTAGAAAATATTTTGGAAAGTTTCTAAATTATTTAATTTGGAGCCAGAATGAATTTTAAATTTTGGCGCCAAATATAAGTACTTAATCAGTTGAATTACTAATTATTTTCGGATTTCTAAATTAATAATATAGGTTTAATTATCTTTTAAAGGTCGGTCCATATTTTATTATACTAACTATTTCAAGAGAAATATCTAATATACATTATGTATTTAACTAATTTTTATATTATCTAAAATATTTAATTATTTTATTATTATGATTTTGGTTTATATTTAAAAATAAAAAAATAAAAAAAAAAACAGAAATTTTTGTGAACGTGAGCTGATCATGTTTTTAAGAGTGATTTTATCACCTTAGTTTGTTAATGATTATTTAACTTAACCTCTAATTCTCTTCTTCACTATCTGATATGCCCATTTTATATAGTGTTTTACCCCCATCCCTTGGTCGTTATTAGTAGTGTTTTTGGCTCTTTCGGGCCACTTTTATTACTAATTTGTGTGTTCTAGTGTTTCCGTAGTTTTAGTTGTATTTTACAGGAAATTGCACTCTTGGATCATTTTCCCGGGCTTTATAGATCAACTACGGAAGCTAGAAGGACGTGACCACTTTTGGAGCCCAAGATCGGTGAGAGCCGGTGATTAAGGGCTCGGTAATTGGGATCCCGAGGCATTTGGACCAAGTATTCGAGACCCGAGAGGAAATCCGGATTGGGGCGAGAAATTGATGAATCACATTTATATAGAGTTTATCGGCACATTTATGCTAGTTTTATAGTTGATTTTTGAGTCTTTTGTTGCTTTTTAGGTTGTAATTCCATAAGTTGTTCATTTTGTGCTCTATTACGCTTCGTTTGTGTTTTATTAATGTTTCAGGTAGTTTCTATAACTATTCGAACGCTTTCGGGGTGATTTTGGAAGAACGGGACAATGAAAGGATGAAAAGTCAATGAATGGAGGTCACTTAAAGAAGGATATATGTTTGTGGAAGCTTTTTTGAGATTTATATGCATGAGGAATGAATATAGTATCCACAAGGGTCGTTATGCACTTTACGGAAACGAATTTGAGTTAGTAACGAAGTTAAACGATGTTTTACAAAGTGGCAAAAATGACCTTTGTCCACTCTTTTGATCATAACTCAAGTTATACAAATCGGATTGATGCGATTCAAGTTGCGTTGGAAACTAGACTTGAAGAGCTTTCTAATGATAGGTCACACGCCTTGAGAAGATTCCTATAACAGAAGTTATGAGCATTTGAATCTAAGCATTGTAATCAGCCAACCGCAGGGCTGGCTGCGCCTCTGTCCCGCGCCCCCTCGAGGCTGCTGCCGCTACTGCCAGGGCGCGGGAACCACCCTGCGGCCGCAGGTTCTGGCGAGCAGCCACAGCAGCCATGTATAGCTCGTGTTCTCGACTTCTCTTGCGGTTTTATGCCACGTCATCTTCTATCATCCAATAGTAATTCAACTTATGTACTTATTATTTTCTTATTACTTTTCTTTAATTATTTTTAGGATAATATAAATACTCAAGGGATATTATTTTTCCCTTATGCCTTTTTAGGCCTTTTATACTTTTTATTTTTACGTTCATTTTAGTTTTTCTCTTGAACCCTAGTTTCTCATGGCATCTCAATGGATTCTTGCATGGATGATTCTTGGGTTTATTATTTCAATTCATTGAGGTA